TATACATCAGGAACAGCAGATTGAGGAGGAGACAAAGGAGCTTGTGGTGATGAATTTAAGGAATCTTTAGAGAAAGGGTTCTCAAATGCATTGTCAGCAGATTTGATAACTGGTGGGGCACCTTGTCTGGGAAGTGGCTTTGGTGGTTCATTGATCTTATTCAACAGTTGATTCGCATCAAAGTCATCATGTTCTGCATTCTCCTAAGGAATGCCGACTTTACTGTTGAAATATTTGGAGAAGGCTCTTGAAGCCTCAGGGGAAGTCTGCTCTCCCTTCCTTGCAGGTACTGCAGGTGGCTGTTTCAGCTGCAAATCCTTAAAAACATTTCTTTCACCTCATTGAGTTCTGTATCTGCAAGTGGGTCTAAAGCAGTGAAGGCATCATTGGACCTGTCCACTGGACGAGCAGCTCTGGGAGGAGGCTGAGAAGGAGTGAACAGAAGAGAGGTGAGCATATTGGGGAGATGGGCAGGAGCTAGACAAATATTGCTCTGTAAAGGATTTCCTAAAGAGGTCGCTGATGGCCAAGTGTTGTGTGTCATAGATGCTGAAGGACTCCAAACAGTAGGGCCTGGAGGTTGAGTTGAGCCTGCAAAGGCTGAAGGTTGGTCCCAACTGGGAACAGGTGGGCTTGTGCCAAAAACCAGTGGCTGACCAAATCCTGAAGGTTGACCACTCATCATTGTTACTCGGATCATGGAAGTGGGCTGATTGAAGACTAAAGTTGGTTGGGTCGACGTGCCTGACTACAAAGGTGTACGTGGTATTCCACCTAGACCTGCAAGGGGCCCCACTGGGACAGAAACACTTGTCTTAAAGAGATCCAGAGGATTGGTCCGCAGAGCTGCAGGTGATGTCTGTCCTGGAGATTCTGAGACAGGAGGAGCAAAGGGGTCTAATGCAAGCAAGTCATTTGCTGAAGATGCTGGACTATTGAGGTCAGGAGATGTAGACATGTCCCCAAACAAATCCATCTGGTCAACAACCAATTTGAGTTTGGTAGTGTGGTCATCAAGATTTATTAGGGCCTCATTCCCATTCTACTGCTTTGTTGGCTTCTTCAGTCTTTTCCTTTTCTTTACATTTTAGATAACTTGAAAAAGGTCTTTAAGATCAACCATTGATGGTTCAGCCTGTTGTCCTGTTTTGATGGCAAAATCTGGTGCTGGCCTTCTCGTCCACACATACAACCAAGTGCCTGGTTGTCTGTCACATCACCAGCAATGAAAGAAACCTTATTTACTGGATATTCATGCTCGATTACACCAGTTTTCTCATCAATTATTTTTATCCCAGAAAGTGAAATGTTGACCTAGATCCTTTGTGCTGTCCCTGAGACCAACCAGCTGCTGCCATTTAATTTCATCATAGATTCTTGGCTCATTTTATCCTCTCTTGCATCTGGCACATCATCAATACCAATTAGTTTCGCCTTTTATTTCACACCACCACCCTTGAACCTGACCAAGAGATACTCATCTGTCTTTCCAGAGCTTTTCTTCTTTTCCTTCTTTGATTGTGCTTTGGGTGTAGCCTGCTGGTCAGGCTGGCCATTTGTTGTACTTGCTTCTACTTTGTTAGACATTGCAAGATGGTAGGCAGCAAACTCCAGTTCCAGCAGATACTTAACCAACACCAGGAAATTCCCAATGAATAAATCTGAAATGAGCATAACCTACAGACACACCCTACCTAGCGCAGCAGTGAAGTGAGCATGACTTCATGGTCCAGGAGCCTCCAGGCTGCTCTATAGGGTTTTAAATGATCAGCTGGTGAGCTTGAACCACTGGTCTTGGGTTCAAACAGACCTT